CCCCGAAAAAAGCCTACCTACACCGCAATGGGGCTGTACAGATAGGTTGATAGGAAGGTAGGTGCATAGGCTAGGTTCAGAACAGGATTTTGTAGGGAGTATTGCCATGGCGGGAGGGAGTTGAGGGGACAGTGTAGGATTTTTAATTTGTCTTATTGATCAGTACTAGTCAAAGAAAATGTCAAAATTCTGGATTTTATTTATCGACACCAGAATATACAATGTTTTTATACTATGATACTAAATAAAACACGAGATGTTGGATTTTCTTTGACACATTGACAGTGCCGTAAAACACCTACTCAATCATTCAATCAATCTTTGACACATTGTAATCAGTCAATCTTTAACACATTTTCATCACCAGGACTGCCTGCAGCACCGGCTTATCGCCTACAAGACCAGAAGATTGTCCATATCCACTGCATCGAGAAACGAAAAGTGTAGGATGATCATCCCTAGAAGGTATTTGTCTTTTAAAGATGTCTTGGCCTATTCATTTAGACGTTTAAAAACAATTAGAATAATATCCAACGCTAGGTCAACTTAAAAGTTTCATTTGTACGTATATGTTTCTAAAAAAAACTCCCCCTGAACCTGTTTAATGGCTCCTGAAAAAAGACCTATAATGTTGCTTATTGTTGTGGACACAAGTAACGAGATTTGCTCGTGGCGCGGGTTCTCGTGCTGAGGAACACGGAGATCTCGTGCGGTGAGGGGATCCCGTGTAGAATAGTTCACGAGAAGTGTATATAATCAGTCAATCACGGCTTTCAGTGGGACAATCGGACGAGAGAGAGTAGGGGACAGAGCCTTTGTCGACTCACTGGAGGAAACATACAATGTACTAGATCTACATTTATTGAAATTAAATACTCATCAACCACGGTAAGAGTTTTGTCTTATCGTTTTATAGAATCTAATGTCGTTTTAATTTGTGGTGTAGTAATGTGTTCCGCAACACTTATAATTGATGTAATTCAAACGGAAACAATTGAAGATTTTTGTTTTTTCAGCCTGTAATTGTCATGTCTTTTCACTCCATCATAGGTATAGTGGTACCGTAATATTTTTTATTGATTAAAAGGTGGACACAATGTAAGGTTTATATATTTCCTTGAAGAACAAAACTTTCTTTCTTTCACATGCAGCATTTTTTTTTTTACTTCTTTGCTCATGTAAATAGAATGTGCTGCATTTAAATAATCACGTATCAAATTTAGATGCTCCAACATGAATGTTCTTAAAATCAAAATTTAGTAATTCAAACTGATTAAACTTTGACATTTTTTTCAGATTACCGTCATTCATCGGACTTTTCGCAAGAAGGTGCTGGGGCTATCAGTAAATCTACCACAAAAGGTAGAAGGTCAAATAAATAGCTGGTGAGTTTGTTTGATCCTTTTTGAGTATACATTTTACAGCATCATTGAAACAGTAATGGCAGTGGGGCACCAACAAGCTGCGAAGAACAAGCTAGTAGGCAAAATTCACTTCCAACACTCAAGCACAAAATCATTTGGCAGCTCTTCCCACCCAATTCTACTTCTGTCACCCCCATTCCCTCTTGAAAAGACCCCTACCTACACTGCTGTGGCCTTGTAAAGATAGGTTGACAGGGAGCTAGACGGATAGGGTAAGTTTAGCGTAGGATTTTGTAGATAGTATTGCCATGGCCATGGCGGGAGGGAGTTGAGGGGGCAGTGTAGGATTATTTGGGGGGGGGGGGGTGAGTGGGGCGGCAGGGGTAGATGGAGTCTTTTCAGGGGGAAGAGGGTGGCAGCAGTAGAACAGGCTGGGAAGAGCTGCTTGCTGATTTTCAACTTGAGTGTTGAAGGGACTTTTGTATACTGGATAGTTCTTTACAGCGTATTGGTGTGGCACTGTCAGAATTGTATCAGTGGTGTTGTAAAATGTATACTCAGTGGATCAAACAAACACTGCCAGCTGTTCCTTTGGCTTTTGACCATCGTGTGGTAGATGTTCTGATACCACCAGTAGGACAGGACAGCCTGTAGGAAGGACCACCTATGTGACTGGAAGACCGCAAATACGCAGTGATGAATGATGGGCAGCCAGAGAAGGTAATTGTCTTTGAAATATTTCTTGCGATTCTGCTTACTGACATAAGAAATTATGTAATATATTATTTATGTAATAACTTAAAAGATATTCATTGGTGCTTGAGAAAGTTTCATTTTTTTCTCTCATCGACACGATTCTGGAGGGCACATTAGACTGAGGACAAGACAATAGGACCGTTTATATCGAGAGTGTCAAGAAACGAGAAGGGAGAAATGATGACCAGAATCAGAAGGTATTTGTCATTGAAGTATTTCTTGCAACATTATTCACAGAGGCTTTGCTTCCATTATTATTAGGACATTATTTAACTCATAATGACTATAAAATTAGAATATCCACCGATCAGTCAGGTTTCACAGTGAAATGTCGGATATCTACACCTTAAGTGATCTAAATTGTGTTGAGGGTGTTAAAAAACTCCAACAGTAAAATAAAATCAAACTTAATAAGTAAACTTTTCATAAGCAGTAATTTGTCTCATTGATCAGTACTAGTCAAAAGAAATGTCAAAATTCTGGATTTTCTTTATCGACACCAAATAGAATGGATTTATACTATGATACTAAATAAAACACGAGATGTTGGATTTTCCTATGACACGTTGACAGTCTCGTAAAACACCTATTAAATCATTCAATCAATCTTTGACACATTTTACTCAATCAATCAATCTTTGATTCATTGTTTTCATCACCAGGACGTCCTGCAGCACCGGTTGATCGCGTACAAGACCAGATCGTCGTCCATATTATCCACTGTATCGAGAAACAGGTAGTGTAGGATGATCATCCCTAGAAGGCATTTGTCTTTGAAAGATGTCACGTCCTATTTAGACGTTAAAATACTAATAAAATACCCAATGCTAGGTCAACTTGAACGTTTCATTTTTACGTTTGTTTCTCCCAAAAACTTCCCCTGGACCTGTTTAATGGCTCCGGAAAAAAGACCTATAAATGTTGCTTGTAATTGTAATTCAAACAGAAACAATTGAAGAATTTGCTTCAATGTCATTTCAAGGTTGTACTTCTTTTGTCAGCCTGTAATTGTCCTGTCTTTCTTTTCACACCAGCATAGGTATAGTGGTACCGTCATCTTTTTTTTATTGATTAAACGCTGGACACAATGTAAGGTTTATACATTTCCTTGAAGAACAAAACTTTCTTTCTGTGTCTTATACTGCATTTTTTACTACTCACCTCATGTAAATAGAATGTGCTGCATTTTAATAATCACGTATCAAAATATTTAGATGCTCCAACATGAATGTGCTTAAAATAAAAAATTAGTCATTCAAACTGATTTAACTTTGAATTTATTTTTCTCAGATTACCTTCACTCATCGGACTTTTCGCAAGAAGGTACTGGTGTTATCAGTAAGTCTACCACATAAGGTAGAAGGTCAAATAAACAGCTTGTAGAGTTTGATCCTTGTTGAGTACACTTTTTACAGCATCATTGAAACAGTAATGGCAGTGCGGCACCAACAAGCTGCAAAGAACAAGCTAGTAGGCAAAATTCACTTCCAACACTCAAGCACAAAATCATTTGGCAGCTCTTCCCACCCAATTTTACTTCTGTCACTCCCTTCCCTCTTGAAAAAACCCCTACCCACACTGCTGTGGCCTTGTAAAGATAGACAGGGAGCTAAGTGGATAGGGTAAGTTTAGCGTAGGATTTTGTAGATAGTATTGCCATGGCCATGGCGGGAGGGAGTTGAGGGGGGCAGTGCAGGATTTTTTTTTGGGTGGAGTGGGGGGGGGGGGGGGCGTGAGTTGGGCGGCAGGGGTAGATGGAGTCTTTTTAGGGTGAAGAGGGTGGCAGCAGTAGAACAGGCTGGGAAGAGCTGCTTGCTGATTTTCAACTTGAGTGTTGAAGTGACTTTTGTTTACTGGATTGTTCTTTGCAGCGTATTGGTGTGGCACTGTCAGAATTGTATCAGTGGTGTTGTAAAATGTATACTCAGTGGATCAAACACTGCCAGCTGTTCCTTTGGCTTTTGACCATCGTGTGGTAGATGTTCTGATACCACCAGTAGGACAGGACAGCCTGTAGGAAGGACCACCTATGTGACTGGAAGACCGCAAATACGCAGTGATGAATGATGGGCAGCCGGAGAAGGTAATTGTCTTTGAAATATTTCTTGCGATTCTGCTTACTGACATAAGAAATTATGTAATATATTATTTATGTAATAACTTAAAAAATATTCATTGGTGCATTGGTGCTTGAGAAAGTTTCATTTTTTTCTCTCATCGACACGATTCTGGAGGGCACATTAGACTGAGGACAAGACAATAGGAGCGTTTATATCGAGAGTGTCAAGAAACGAGAAGGGAGGAATGATGACCAGAATCAGAAGGTATTTGTCATTGAAGTATGTCTTGCAACACTATTCACTGGGGCTTAAGTTCCATTATTATTAGGACATTACTTAACTTATAATGACTATAAAATTAGAATATCCACCGAATAGTCAGGTTTCACTATGAAATGTCGGATATCTACACCCTAAGTGATCCAAAGTGTGTTAACGAGGGTGTGAAAAACTCCAACACAAAAAAAAAATCATAAAAAAGTAACTTTTCATAAGCATTAATTTGTCTCATTGGTCAGTACTAGTCAAAAGACATTTTTAAAATTCTGGATTTTCTTTATCGACACCAGAATATAGAATGCATTTATACTGTGATACTAAATAAAACACGAGATGTTGGATTTTCTTTGACTCATTGACAGTGCTGTAAAACCCCCAGTGGGTCGGGGGGATATAAATAGACCCACTGCTTCGTCTGCAGAAGGTGCAACCCCCTCAAAGGCGGAGTGTCGCACACGGACCCCAACCCTCTGGGATCAGTGTGCGACACTTACTTTGGTGTATCCTCCTCTTCTCCTTCCTTCTTTCTTTCTTCTTCTATCTTTCCTACCACCGCTGATCTCATGTGCAGCAAAACGAGAGGTCACCCATCCCACAGAGTGGGCGCCTTGTTGACCGTGAGGTGCGACCCGTGTGGAGGGAAACCGGGTACCTGGCGGTTGAGGTGAGATCAGTCCACGGACTGTCCCTCGCCAACACACCTCTTTGGCCCAGGTTTTCCTCTTAGACGGGAGGGTGGCACGGCCCATGCCACTCAATCGGTTGAGAGCTGAAACCCCATCAAGCCCTGGGTCAATCTTGACGGGACGGTCTTGTACTTTCTCGTTGAGAGTATAGCTCCGGGGTAGCCCTGGCACAGCTCTGGTAACCCGAGCAATGTGTCCCCTTGTTGGGCTCCGTGGCGGGCGGGGAGCCCCGGAGTGGAATAAAATAGAAAACTCTCATGGAATCCAAATAAAAAATAGACCCTTCCCCAGCTCCCAACGTTACCAAAAAGTCTCGGCTCGCGGAAGCGGGTGCGGCCGCCGAGCCGAGCAAAAACTCCAAAACTGGAAAAAGGACCTTTACGTCTGCCTCTTTTCTCCCTTCTCCCAGGGAGCTTCCGAAGCAGCCGTACGTGGCCATCTGCTGCAAAGAAGACGCACAGAAGATCACTGATCTGAATTTGTTCAAGACGGGAGATGCACTAAGACAGGTTCTGGGATACATTCCTACGAATGTCCAGAAGCTGTCCTCTGGTGTACCTATGTGACTGGAAGACCGCAAATACGCAGTGAGGAACAATGGGCAGCCGGAGAAGGTAATTGACTCTGAAATATTTCTTGCGATTCTGCTTACTGACATAAGAAATTATGTAACATATTATGTAATAACTTTAAAAATATTCATTGGTGCTTGAGAAAGTTTCATTTTTTTCTCTCATCGACACGATTCTGGAGGGCACATTAGACTGAGGACAAGACCAATGGAGCGTTTATATCGAGAGTGTCAAGAAACGAGAAGGGAGGAATGATGACCAGAATCAGAAGTATGTCTTGCAACACTATTCACTGGGGCTTAAGTTCCATTATTATTAGGACATTACTTAACTTATAATGACTATAAAATTAGAATATCCACCGAATAGTCAGGTTTCACTGTGAAATGTCGGATATCTACACCCTAATTGATCTAAATTGTGTTAGTGAGGGTGTGAAAAACTCCAACACAAAAAAAATCAAACTTTAAAAAGTACACTTTTCATAAGCATTAATTTGTCTCATTGATCAGTACTAGTCAAAAGACATTTTTAAAATTCTGGATTTTCTTTATCCACACCAGAATATAGAACGCATTTATGCTGTGATACTAAATAAAACACGAGATGTTGGATATTCTTTGACTCATTGACAGTGCTGTAAAACACCTACTCAATCATTCAATTAATCTTTGACACATTGCACTCAATCAATCAATCTTTGACTCATTGCTTTCATCACCAGGACGTCCTGCAGCACCGGTTGATCGCCTACAAGAGCAGATTGTCGTCCATATCCACTGTATCGAGAAACAAGTAGTGTAGGATGATCATCCCTAGAAGGTATTTGTCTTTGAAAGATGTCATGTCCTATTTAGACGTTCAAATTCTATTAGAATACCCATTGCTTGGTCAACTTGAACGTTTCATTGTTACGTTTACCTTTCTCTCAAAAACTTTATCTAGACCTGTTTAATGGCTCCTGAAAAAAGACCTGTAAATGTTGCTTGTAATTGATGTAATTCAAACGGAAACAATTGAAGAATTTGCTTCAATGTCATTTCAAGGTTGTACTTCTTTTGTCAGCCTGTAATTGTCATGTCTTTCTTTTCACACCAGCATAGGTATAGTGGTACCGTCATCTTTTTTTTAATTGATTAAACGCTGGACACAATGTAAGGTTTATACATTTCCTTGAAGAACAAAACTTTCTTTCTGTGTCTTATACTGCATTTTTTTTACTACTTTGCTCATGTAAATAGAATGTGCTGCATTTAAATAATCACGTATCAAAATATTTAGCTGCTCCAACATGAATGTGCTTAAAATAAAAATTTAGTAATTCAAACTGATTTAACTTTGAATTTATTTTTCTCAGATTACTGTCACTCATCAGACTTTTCGCAAGAAGGTGCTGGTGTTATCAGTAAGTCTACCACAGAAGGTAGAAGGTCAAATAAACAGCTTGTAGAGTTTGTTTGATCCTTTTTGAGTACACTTTTTACAGCATCATTGAAACAGTAATGGCAGTGCGGCACCAACAAGCTGCAAAGAACAAGCTAGTAGGCAAAATTCACTTCCAACACTCAAGCACAAAATCATTTGGCAGCTCTTCCCACCCAATTCTACTTCTGTCACCCCCCTTCCCTCTTGAAAAGACCCCTACCTACACTGCTGTGGCCTTGTAAAGATAGGTTGACAGGGAGCTAAGTGGATAGGGTAAGTTTAGCGTAGGATTTTGTAGATAGTATTGCCATGGCCATGGCGGGAGGGAGTTGAGGGGGCAGTGTAGGATTATTTGGGG